TTCACGTTTGTCCACACTGAAAGTCAAATCAATCAATTTGGGATTTCGGGGTTCTGTCAAGTAAACCTTTGATAACGTTATTAGAGCATCTCCAACGGCGTTTTTATTTCTATTTCAATTCGAAGTTACGGATATAGAATAGAAACTCTTGCTCTATCCGGAGGGTTTGTTGCTATTTCACGCGAAAATAGAAATTCTGCGGGACGAAATTTCTAAAAAGTCCGGATAGTGTTAAAATAGCAACCGTAAAAACGAAGTTTGACTTTAACCTATGCTTTAGCAATAGGTTAGAATTTACCGTTGGAGATGCTCTTACATGAATGGTGTCTACCTGACTTATTACGCTTGAGAGGTTATTTTTGGGCATTTCTCTCAAAAATATATTCCTCTCATTTTGCATTTTCCCACTCACAAAGCCATCTGCTCAACCCATATGCTGGATAGTTGAAGTACTACATTCCGATTTTCCGGAAATCCTTAGCATTTTTCCGCTTTCTACAGTAGTCTGTTTTTCACAGTTAGCCTCCTAAACCTACTAAGTAACTTCCAGTTGACTACTGTACTGTTGGTCTATTAATACATATATCAGCAAATACTGTAGAATACGAATGTAACTCCTGGGCCCGTTCCCACGTCAACAATCCTGTATAACTGGATACATTTGCACAGATTGTGAGGATTACTGTGTCTTGTGGAAAAGACCTATTTTCTGTGGAATAGCCCAAATCTACTGTGTGATATACAATTTGGTTGTGACAAATGCTTTCCCTCGAGCTCCACAGTGAGTTGCAGCTTACAGAAGCGCCCCTAATATGAAGCGAACCAGCTGAGGGAGTGTCAAACACCTTCACCTGGCCCAATAGCTGTATAATAAACAACGCATACTATTGTGCTTTGCAACAAAGTCAAAAGTGGGTGTATACGGCATAAGCATAGGATAAATCAATGCTAACGTTAACGTTACAAGGGTCGTTGGAAATGTGTGTATTAATCACAACTTTAATCCACGACTTCAATGACTGATGGAGACTAACTGGTCAAGCGCAAATGCCTCGTCGTCGACGGACGTGTCCCAATTGATTCAGTCGTGCAAGGCTTTACAGTAGTTGTACAAGGAGCCTTAGTGGTGGTGAAAGGAGCCTTGGTGGTAGTGAAAGGAGCCTTGGTGGTAGTGAAAGGAGCCTTGGTGGTGGTGAAAGGAGCCTTAGTAGTGGTGAAAGGAGCCTTGGTGGTTGTACAAGGAGCCTTAGTAGTTGTGAAAGGAGCCTTGGTTGTGGTACAAGGAGATTTGGTAGTGGTACTGGGCGCATCCGTGGTAGTGGCAGGCGTACTGGTGGTGGTGCTTGGTGCGTCTGTGGTAGT